CACAGTGAGTTGAAAGTTGATACAGCCTCTATTGATTTTTATGCTTCACTCATTTTTATATTTCTGGCTGTGAACAAGCAGTCATTAATTTCAATACTGACATATAAAATGTTTTTTAAAACTGTAAAGATTTTTAATACAGTTCATCATTAAAATGGAAATGTTACTTGAATTGGATAGATTCCCTCCTTTTACTGTTCTTGACTGCCTGCATTTTAACTTTACATATTAATTTATATATACCCTTCCTAAAAAGCTTATTATGTAAGTTTAAGAGAACTGTATTCCTAAAATTATCTACAAAATGCATACAAATATTTCTTATCTTCTTTAATGTCCACTGCTGAATACATGTAAATTAGTATCAGTTCCATGCTGCTTTCCATGTTAGTAAATTCTGTCTCCATGAGGGAAAAAAATAAGAAGTTATTTGTATCTTTTTTATAATTAGACTCATCAATCCTATTCTGATGTTCTTGCATCAGTAACCTTATCTGATTCAACCAAATCAAATTTAATATATGGATGAATATCTGATAGAACTACTGTTTTCTTAAATTCCTTCTAAATACTTATCATTAAGCTCCAAAAAGATTCTCAAATGCAAGTCTTCAGTTCTTCTCTATCAAAAATATATATAATGAGATATATATTTTTATTACAAAACTATTAAAAATGTAATCTTAACATAATTACAGGGTTACCAATAATAATATAGCCATCACTTAGCAGTTCTTAATAAATTACTTATGCCAGGTTAAAAAAAATAGAATGATTTTTTAAAAAATAACATTGGTATATTAAAAAAATACCTTCTGGGGAGATCTTATACTTCTAAAACACAAACAATCATGTAAAGCAATGTTACCTCAATTTACAAAAAAAGTAAACAACAAAAATCCCTTCCAAGATCAGGGAAAAGATATGGCACCTGCTCTCACATTTTATTCAATATTATACATGTGTTATTTCCCAATGCCATAAAGTAAAAAAAACTAATAAAAAGCTCAGTGATAATACAAGAAAAAAGTTAAAATTAATTTTATTTCTTAATGTCATGAGAACCTGTGGAAAATGCTAAAGAATGTATTTAAAAAAACTAATATAGGGCCTCCCCGGTGGCGCAGCGGTTGAGCGCTAGGTTGAGAAGCTGCCCGCGCGGCCTCTGAGGCGCCGGTTAGATACCTGGCTGCTCCCCGGCCACCAGAGAAGGGTCCCGCATGGCGCACAGACCTCTCCTGCCACTCGCTGCTCCCCTCAGCAGTGTACTTCGGTCCTTCTGCCTGCTCTGCTCCCCGCTCTAGCTCTGGTGAATTCTCTCACCCTCCCGCGCTTCTGACTGTACCCAGTGCTTGTATAAATAAATAAATAAATCTTTAAAAAAAAAAAAACTAATATATTAATAACCAACATAGAAAAATTGGAAAATAAAATGGAAATTGGAAAATAAACATGATTTATAATAGCATTAAAATATGAAATACTTGCTAAATTAAATATACTAAAAACCACATAACACTTCTGAGACAAGTGTTAAATAAAGGATCTAAATAAATGGAAAGATATGCTATATTCATTAAACAGATGATTTATTATTATTAAGATATCAATTCTCCCCACATTAATCTATAGATTCAATAATATACCAATAAAAATTCCAGCAGGCAGTTCAATGGAAGAAGGATAGCCTTTTCAAAAGCTGACATTAGATTAACTGGATATCCAAAGCCAAAAGATAAACCTTAATTTAACATCACACCTTAACTAATTTGATTTAACATCACACCTTAACAAAATTAACTAATTTGTGGACTTAAATATAAAATACAGAGATCTAAGTCTTTGAGGGGAAAAGAAAATTAGCAGAAAATCATAGTGTACTGGAGCTAGAAAAAGAGTTGTTAGGTTGTTATGGGCCATGAAACAAAAATTAATAAAACTTGACCTCATTAAAGTGAAAACTTTTCCTCTTCAAAAGACCTGTGTAATGGGATAAAAAGATAACAGGAGAAAAATACTGGCAAAACACAATAATCAGGAAGCCAGTAAGAAAACTCACATCAGGGAAGAAAATAGGCAGGTACCATGGTCTTGGATTTCCCATTCCTCCAGAAGTATGAGAAATAAATTCCTCTTATTTTAAGCAACCCACTCTGGTATTTTGCTATGGCATCCAAGCTAAGATACCATCAAAATAAAAATGATGACAATAGCAAGTGCTGGCAAGAATACAGAGAAATGGTAACTCAGAGACTGCTACTGGGAATGCCACTGGATCCTAGGGTCTAGTCCCTGAGGGTGCATCTGCTAATGTACCCTTTGAGTCCATATACAAGCAGCCAGCTTCATTCATTTCCAAAGAGAAAATTTATATCTGAGAAATAAAGACTTACATTCACACAAAAACCTATACAAGTATGTCTGCAGCACCTTTATTCATAAGGGACAAAAACCGGGAATAACCCAATTTGAATGGTTAAGCAAACTACAGTTCATTTATATCATGGATAATGCTCATAAATTTTAAAAAAAGGATATTAATACACACAACAAATAGAACAAATTTACCAGGGAATTAAGCTGAGTGAAAAAAAATAAAAGGCCAGTATCAAAAGGTTACATACAATGTACTTGAGATGACAAAATTAAAGAAATTGAAAAACAGATTAGTGGTTGTCAGAGCTAAGAGACAAGGAGGGGGTAAAAAGGCAGTAGGGATGCTTATAAAAAGGGAACAGAAGGATCTGGAGTGAAGGAAATGTTCTATATCTTGACTATATGCCAATATTTTGGTTGTTCTATTATACTACACTTTTGCAAGATATCACCACTATAGGAAACCAGGTGAGGTGTCCATGGGATTGCTCTATATTATTACTTACAACTGGGTGTGTGAATTTACAATTACCTCAAAATTAAAAGTTGAAATTTTTAAAAAGTAGGTTTTTATGTAGAAAATGATTGATCTATATATGCAACACCATCCTAACTAAAATTCCACTGTTTAATCTTTTATAGAAATTGAAAAGTTTAATTTAAATAATCATCAAGAAATATAATGTTACTATGGTGGTGGGAGGACTACAGGGACTAAACTGGAGGGGAGAGATCAAATACTATCTAAAAATCAACAAAAACATAATAAAATAAATAAATTAAAATTACTTAAATTAAAAAAAAAGAACTTTAATGTTCAAGAGACCATGAGTCACACAGAAACTGTTTCCTTTGATTTCTGACCATAAAATCAAAAACTTAATTACTTAATTTCAGGCATATATTTTGCTCTATTACACAGCTATCGGGGACTAAACAGTCTTAATTTCAATGTGAAAAACTATTGTTGGTTATAAAATGCTATTTAAAGGCAGCTTTAACAATTTAAGAGCATCAGGTTACAAAGTTTGCCCTAAAGAAAATCAAATTTACATACAGATAAATCAGATATCTATCTGAGACAAATCATAGATAAATGGCAAATGGTCCATGAAATTCTGTTCTATAAAGTTTTGTTTCCATGTACTAATCCCAAAATAGTTTGCTGCCAAAATTAAACTATTGTAGTAATAACCACCAGCACATCAACATCCTTTTTAAAAAGAACTTTAATAAAATTAAAATCACAATACAAGTCCAAAGAAATGACCTTTTACCAGGTCAACAGTGAGAGAAGGGAGCAACTTTGTCAAAGACTGAGCTCATAATTCTCTCTCTTAATTCAACTCCATTTCCATTTCCTGAGCATATCAGGAGATCAGTAAGTACCAGAAGAATCATGAAAAATGAAATCTGATAGGTCTTTATCCCAAGGCCAAGAGAATAAATGAGGAGTACAAAAGAGGATCTTGGCGGGAAGGGGACGGGTCCACACTAAACTGACATGAACACAATTTTAACAAACATTTCATGGGAATTCTCAGTTTCTTTAACTAAACTAAGGTTGATCCACTCAATACATAAACTTTCTAAATGTTAAAATGTTATCATGACACACATAGTATTACCATCAGTTGATTGGAACTTGGTATAATGTTCTGTTAGGTTTGTCTACCCCTAAAAATGAAGCATTTAGCACAATAAAATAGGGGAGAAACTATTCAAGGAATCCAAGCCTCCTCAAAGTAACCTTTAACCTTTTTTAGGGCTGTGATTCACATTTTACACAACTCAGTATCCACACATACATATTTATGCAACACATATACCCTGAAATAACTATATCATAAAGTAAGAATGACAGGCACTATTGTGTACTGTGGTGTTTTTTTCCTAATATCTTTATTTGGATTCTAATTTAAAAAAAAAAAAAAAAAGGCGTGCCACTAAATTGATTTCATAATCTACAGGGGGTGGGGGGCCCTATTTTGCAATTTGAAAAAAAGAAAGACACCCAAATGTAGTGAAATGTTAACATCTGGGAAATCTTGATTAAAGGTATCTGGGTATACAATTCTTAGTATTGTTTTAGTACTCTTTTGTAAGTCTGAAAGTGTAAAAATAAAAGATAAATTTAAGAACCTATCCATTTCACTTTATTAGGGAATAAGGTTAAACATTACTGGGTCTCATATACCTTAGTATTCCCTAATTTTCCCTCCCCTTTCCTTTTGGTCACAATTCTTTGTATATAACATACATTTAATAAACACGAATTAAATTTAAAAAAATGGGAAGTATGAACTATAAATTACTCATAAAGTTAGAGGATCTTTAGCTGGGCCTTTTAAGCATGGAAAGATTTCATTTGGTGAACTAGGTAAAAATAATACATGCAAAGGGACATTGATTAACACTGGGCTGCATGTTTATAAAAATTTGTCAGTAAAGACTCAAAGAACAGATTCACAAAAATTACCAAAGGTCAAATCACAGAAAACAAAATGTGGTAGATATACAGTAAACAAAACCTATGAGTGCACTTAAAGTCATTGAATGCCAGAAATGTAGTCTACTCCCTCTCTCCTTAGAAAATTATAAATAAGGAAAAGTAAAAGTTATACCTCAAAATTTTGTTCCATTATGTTTCCACCCTTACTCAAACTCTCCATGATGGCCTTATTTCGAAGGATATCTTCTTCACTGAGATGTTCTCTTCTTTTTCTTGATTCTAAAACAAGTCCATTCACCAGATAGAAGTCTGCCAAAAAGTTTCCTACTCTTTCCTAAAACAAAATGAAGCATTTCAAAATAATAATACAAGTTGTTTGTGTTAGATTTTTAAAAATTCAAATATACAAACACATGTTTGTCCACAAACATGTACCATGTAAGTAAAAATAAACATTCATTTGGTACTTGAAATTTCCAAATTATCTTATAGTCTATTAAGCTAAAAATACATAAAATTATAAATTTCAAATTGGTAAAGAAAAATTCAAAGCACATAAAAGGTAGTTGATCTGCAAATGAATAAAATTTAAGTGAAAACACCACACAATATTACTTTAGAATCCACACTTAAGTATGGGGAATATAAAAATTAAATTAAATTAAAAAAATCCACATTTAAGAAGCACAATTCTATCAGAAAAATTTATTTAACTCATAGTCAAATTTCAAAAGTAACAAGGAGGGGTCAGGTATAATTACTGTTCCCATTTTATAGATAGAAAAAAAGGTGGAATAAAAAGAAATAGTCTAGGGCCTCCCCGGTGGCGCAGCGGTTGAGCGCTGGGTTGCGAAGCTGCCCGCAGCCTCTGCGGCGCTGGTTCGATCCCCGGCTGCTCCCCGGCCACCGGAGGAGGGTCCCACATGGCGCGCAGACCTCTCCTGCCGCCCGCTGCTCCCCTCAGCAGTGTACTTCTGTCCTTCTGCCTGCTCTGCTCCCCGCTCTGGCTCTGGTGAATTCTCTCACCCTCCCACGCTTCTGACTGTACCCAGTGCATGTATAAACAAAACAAATAAATAAATAAATAAATAAAAGCATGCCTCTATTTAAAAAAAATAAATAAATAAATAAATTAAAAAAAAAAAAAAAAAAAAAGAAATAGTCTAAGGCCTCCCCGGTGGCGCAACGGTTGAGCGCTGGGTTGCGAAGCTGCCCGCAGCCTCTGCAGCGCCGGTTCAATCCCCGGCTGCTTCCCGGCCACCAGAGGAGGGTCCCACATGGCGCGCTGACCTCTCCTGCCGCCCGCTGCTCCCCTCAGCAGTGTACCTCGGTCCTTCTGCCTGCTCTGCTCCCCGCTCTGGCTCTGGTGAATTCTCTCACCCTCCCGCGTTTCTGACTGTACCCAGTGCTTGTATAAATAAATAAATAAATCTATAAAAAAAAAAAAAGAAATAGTCTAAGTCACATAGGAATTGTTAGTACAACTAGAATAATGATCTGTTCCAATGCTCTATTTTCTTTTCTTTTTTTTTTTTTTAATTTATTTATTTATTTATTTATACAAGCACTGGGTACAGTCAGAAGCATGGAAGGGTGAGAGAATTCACCAGAACCAGAGCGGAGAGCAAACAGACAGACTGACGAAGTACACTGCTGAGGGGAGCAGCGGGCAGCATGAGAGGTCTGCGCGCCATGTGGGACCCTCCTCCGGTGGCCGGGAGCAGCCAGGGATGGAACCGGCGCTGCAGAGGCTGCGGGCAGCTTCGCAACCCAGCGCTCAACCGCTGCGCCACCGGGGAGGCCCCCAATGCTCTATTTTCTAACAGGACCAAACTTTAAGTTTCCTTTGCTTGTTGCTTTCAACAAAGAAGAAAGAACAACAGAGAGGTTTGCTCACCAATATAAGTGTGTATACTATGGATAGGGAATAAGGAACCTCAAGTGCTATAAAGAACATCAAGGAAAGAGTTACTTCCTTTCAGTGAATTCCTCCTTCAACACTAAACTTTACTTTTTTCAAATCCACAGGTGGTCAGTTTTTAAATCTTACTTCAAAAAATATGATCAATAACTTACTGGAAATAAGTTTCTCATTTCTGACTGCATGCAAATCACTTAGTCTCCATCTTGCTGTTGGTTTCTGGCACTCTAAAACTGCGGGATTAGAGTTGTTTCCATGTCCACCCTACTTTTGGTGCCTCCTTATCCATAAACAGAAAGCAAAGCATTCTGCACCTATTTTTACCAACAAAATGGGAACTGTAAGCATTACTGACTCCCTCCTTACCTGTTAAAGATTTAAGAAGATCACCTAATGGTGTTCAAGAGTTTTGAGCTGCTAAGGAGTAGCACTAGATTATAGCAGCTTCAATTTTTATCTTCTCTTGAAGTGATCCTTCTAATGCTGTCCAGAAGAACAGAGTACAAACAAGTAAGTCTTCAAGCCTATAAATGGACTGCAATATAGGATCTCACAACTGGAAATCCTATATGCTATTTATTGCCAAATAAGCTTAAAGAGAAAAAGTGACGAGCCTATATTTCATAGTGTGAATTTGTGATTGGGAAATACTCGGATGATAATTCTCAGTTTATGAAATCTTATAATGAAAAAACTGTGTTAAAAGTATGTCATCATATCTATAAAAGTTTCAAGTGCATATTCCCCATAATTCATACATTCTATTTCTTGCTGTCTGTGAGACAATGTCAAAGACATATTCAGGGATGGTAAAAGTGACATTGTAATATAATATACTGAGATTCTCTGATAAAGGTGTGTCCATTCATATAAATGTCAAAAAATAAGAGACTAGGTAAACAAATCACAGCATATTCATACTATGGAATACTACGCAGTTGCCAAAAAAGAATGGAGTGGTACTACTGATTTAAAAAAAAAAAAGTTACACTAAAGAGTTTAAAAAAGTTGATATAGTACTTTATGAGGTAACATTGAAAAATAAATATTCACAACTAAAGCTACGTATTACAAGGGATACATATTTAGATACATAAAGACTTTAAAAGGTCTGGAGAATATATAAATGGATAACCTTTAACAAGGGGCTCTGGGCAGGTAAGTAGTGCCCAAGGGGGAATTTTCAGCTTTATGGTAAGGTTGTATGATAGTTAATTTTATGGCAACTTGGCTAGACTATGTGCCTAATATGATGTTTAGTCAAACACCACTCTAGATACTACTGTAAAAATATTTTTTAGATGTAATTAATATTAAATCAGCAGACTTAGAGTAAAGCAGATTACCCTTATAATGTGGGTAAGCCTCACCAATTAAATGCAAAATTTAAACGCAATGACAAATGTTTCCCAATGGTAAAACAATTAGGACTCAGGATTGCAACATAGAAACCAGGCCTGAGATTCCAGCCAGTAGGTGTCAGTCAGACTCAACACAACATCAACTTTTCCAGCCTGCATTTTCAGCCTGCAAGACTGCGCCACAGATTTCAGACTTGGCAGGTTTTACATTCACGTGAGCCATTTCCTTAAAATAAATCAATCCGTATGTTACCTTCTCTCTCTCTCTCTCTCTCTCTCTCTCTCTCTCTCTCTCTATATATATATATATATATATATATATATATATATACATCTACATATAGACATACACACACAGAGAGCTACATATAGATATCTATATTTATTTATATGTGTATAGAAAGAGATAAATATTATTTTGTTTCTCAGAGAGCCATGACTAATATAAGCTGTTTTTTTTCTTCAAAAAGAATACATTCATGTCCACAGTGTGTAGTAAACAATATGTAATTTTTAAAAGCTGTAAATCCTGGCTTTTACCTGATGTGATTACTTATTCTTGACTTTAAAACTTTCTAAAACGCTTCCTCATAGATCTAATTACAAATGTTTCAATATAGTTTAAACAGCATCATACAAACTTTTGCTAACAGAAGAAAATGGAGTTATGGGGAAAAAAGCAACTCACTAATGGGGAACCTCCAGTGAGATTTATTGTAATGATAATGTTGAAATGTAAGCTTATTTAATTGTAATCATATATGTGGAATTCTTATAAATAGAAACTAGGTAAGTAAATACTTAGCATTCTGAAAGTGAAAAGACAAATGTCCAAGGAGAACTCAAAAGTATATCCTTCACTGTACTCTTCTTAAAGAATAAAACAAGTCACAACCTGGCTGCAACTGGAAGGGATTATGCAAAGTGAATATGCAAGGTGAAATAAATTAGGAGGAGAAAGACAAATATTGAATGATTTCACTCATATGTGGACTACAGAGAAACAAAACTAAATTCAAACAAATCCTAGATATATGACTGCATAATTAATGCTACTTGGGATGAGGGGACTGGGAGAGAAAGAGGAAGGGAGCACAATGGTCTACAGTGAAGAACTATGGGTGCTTCGGTGGTGGGCTTGGTGGGTGTGGTGTGGTAACATACATCTGAAGAATGTGAGCCTATTTCCTTAAATCATGTACAGTATTGTAAACCAGTGTTACTGCAATAAAAAAAAAATTAACCTTTATAAGTACTTTATAATAAGAATGAAAATGCTTTGCCTAGTAATAGAAACTATGTTCTGTACAATAACAAGGCAATGATATTAGAAATCTTTCCCAACATAGAATTCAAATGTGTTAAGCTGTCTCTCCTAGCTTCCAACTCTAACCAATCATTATAATTCCCTATCTGGATTCAAGGAGAAAACACAACTCAGTAAGCTACTTCCTCCTGCATTTCCATTACACTATTTTGGCGACATTAACTACTAAACAATTTTTAAAATTTAGAATCTAATTTGAACATACTGTTTTATCTTCTCGAAAAAGCCATCCTGTTTGGGCACGTGTGAAAGAAATTGATTTGGTTGATAAAGTTGCGGAGTAAATATCACTACTCATTAAAATGTCAACCTCTTCTTCTGTTTCCATCTCTGATTCCTGGGGAGAGGCAAAAGTTAAATATAAGAATCTAGGTTTTCAAAAATCATAGTGCTGCATATGAAATTATCAACAACGTTGCTGGATTGAATGTTATGGATTTGAAAAAGAAAAAAGACAGATGAAAAAATGTGAAGCACTACTTATTCTAAAAACAATTATAGGTCTATAAACTTCATATATCTAATTAAGTTAGAATTATGACTAATTATGAATTGATAAATACAGGACACATGAAACAGTACTCTTACACTGTTACAGATATGCAATGGAAACAACCCTAGATTACCTATTATAGAAATACAGAGTATGTAGATCAATTTTAAAAGATTACTTTAAGAATGAAGTTGAGGGGCCTCCCTGGTGGCGCAAGAGGTTAAGGCGCAACCTATGAAGCTATCCGTGCAGCACGAGTTTAGTCCCCGGCCAGGGAGCAACCCACATGGCACAGCAGACCTCTCCTGACTTGCCCTCTGCTCCCCTCAGCAGTGTATTTCAGTCAGTCTGCCTGTTCTGGTCCCCGCTCTGTCTCTGGTGAATCCTCTCACCCCCCACACCTCTCACACCTCTCACCTGTACCCCAGTTCTTGTATGATAAATAAAACTTTAAAAAAAAGAATGAAGTTGATAGGTCTAAGATAAAATGTCCACATGAAGTCTTTGTTTTCTTTAAATATAGACAAATCTCACTTTAATTCTTGCCCTATCACTATCATTTGAGCCTTTCTTCCCCAATAGTTCCAAGTGGAAGGAAGAAAGGAGGAAATAGAAGGAAGGAAAGAGGTGGGGGAAGCGTGGAGGAAGAAATGAAAAGAGTGAGGAAAGAAATGAGGGGAAACCAGAAAGGATCATCCCTATATTACTTATAGAAAAGGAATCCATAGATGTCAATCCATAATTTCTCAACTTAGTAAGTAGGCTTGTGGGCTTTATGCCCTCTATATTCCCTAGAACTGGCATATAATAATCAATAATTACTTTCAGATGAGAAAAAAGGAAAGCTTTATGCTTATTTCATGGACAGAAGACTAAGGGATCAGGTACAGAAGGGTAGGTGGAATAAGATGAGATTCTATTCTGTAATAAGCCAACAGGGATTCTTTGAATCTCTCTTAGGACCACAATGTGCTAAGGAAAAAAGGGACAAAAAAAGGCAGCTAAAGAGCTGACTGGGAAATAAGAACTGCCAATAAGGTTTACCATGGCTAGAGGGTCTAGATCCCATACCTCCTTATTTCTACGCGATACATTCCCAAAGACCCTTTTTCTACTCTTCAACACAAAACTTTTATGCAAATATAGTCCATTTCTCAATCTATGAGTCTACATGAAAAAATAGCAGTAACTTAGGACTGGGAGAGTACCATTTCCTTCGTCTTTCCAATCCATGAGCAAAGTTTAGTTTTCCATTTCTTTGTGTTTTCTATTTCTTTCAACAATGTCTTTTATTTTTCATTGTATAGATCCTTCACCCCCCTTTGTTAGGTCCACTCTTTGGTACTTAATTCTGTTTTTGCAATTGTGAATGTGATTGTTTTCTGGATGTCTTTTCAAATGCAACTGATATTTGCAGATTGATTCTGTACCTTCCCACTTTATTGAACTAATGTATTATTGCCATTAGTTTTCTAGTGAAGACTCTCGGGTTTTTCCATGTATATTACCATGTCATCTGCAGATAATGAAAGTTTTACTTCTTTTCTAGTTGACATTCCTTTAATATCTTTCTCTTGCCTCGTTGCCCTCTTTGCAAACAGACTATTCTTAGTCCCATTTCTTGACTTTACTCATCCTGTTTCTTCCACAAGGAATGCCTTTTTTCATTTCCTCTAAATCTTTGTTCCAATCTAAATCTTTATTGCTCAATGCCAGACAGCAAACTATTTCAATAGTACACACTTAAGCTGACTAAGGGCTCATCAATTGATATTGTAGTAAAACAAACAAATCTAAGTAAGAGATATCGAGGATGAGCCACAAGATGTGGTAAATGATAATATGCAGAAAGGAAATGATGAAAAATAAAAACAAATCAAAAAAGAAACAGTGACGAAACAAAATGTTGACTTAAACATTTGTAGGGTAATCAATGATTTGTAGATACTCAAAAAGCTTTTTCTTTGGTTTACAGCAGGGAAAGGGGCATCAAAGAACAAAGGATAAAGATAAAAATGGACAAGGTTATTCAATGGTAGTTGTGGAAAAAATACCAACATGGAGAAGTGATGTGACCAAATGAAGATAAGGGGAAAAAGATAAAGAGAAAAGAAAGGTAGTCAAAGAGTTAGGAAAGTGAAAGAGTAAAGAGCCAAAAGATACGTACATTCATATTAAGGAGATAAAAGGTGGACAACAACATTAAAAGAAGCTAAGGTAGTAAGATAATAAATGGTAAAAGGGAGAGCACAGGTTCAACAAATGAGAATTAAGAATAGCTGGAGTTGACTTAACGAGGAGATAGATCATCAAGGAATTATGACCAAACAGATTGAATGGATTAGTCAGGATGAAGACATAATGATAAAAATTACATATTTTCAAAAAGCTGACTACTGCATAGTAGTAAGGAAATGAAAGTTTTGAGAATGAACTGTTTCAATTATACTTTATGTCTTTTAAAACAATTACACTGAAATTTGGTTGCATACAGAGACCTACTTTTTTAACAACCACTTAGAGGAATGCTGATAAGACAACATGCTCACCTCATGGTGAATTCGCTGATAAACTTTTTGTTCATTGTCTAATACTACAAAAGATTCAGAGGGTGCCGCATCCCCATTGAAAATGAAGCTTAAATCCCCTCGTTGGCACTTCATGTCAGTAAAGTCTATGAGAGTAGTGTCAAGCCTGTGGAAAACGGATAGAAGAGAAACTGACAAAATTGTGCTAAAACTCATAATAAACAAACAAGCCATGTTCCTTCTAAACTCACCTGATGATGCTAATACTATATTTCAAAGTCAAATCATAGATAAAATCTAAATTTAAAATATCTAATTTTAAAACACCAAAAGAATATTTAAATATATTCCATTGTATCTATATTTCGTTTTTCTGGACATATATACTTTATAAATCTAGGAAGAAAAAGATTGTTTCGCCATTACTGAAGTATCTTCCTGACTGTAATCTTGGTTCCCACCATTTCTCTTATTGTAGCTATCCCATACAAGTTACTTCAACTGGGATAGGCAGAAAAGGAAAGCAGACCTAACACTAAATTTTCCCTTAAAGACCATGTTGTTAGCTCAGCAGGGTACATATGAGAGGCACAGCAATAGATACACTGCATTCTTGGATTAAGGACTGTATCTCTAACAATCTTGCCCCTTTGATTTACATCTACATCTATGTCTTATGTCTAACCATCTGGCACCAAACCCTGCTGCATGAACTTGATAAACCTTGTAATCTACTCCAAATTCTTAACCTTTCTATTTGACTTCCCAGATTCAGATTAGCATTCTCATTCCCAGCATTCTCTTTGCCAACATCTACACAACCTAAAAACCTTATGGATCATTCCTGTGACAAAGAGTCTCAGATTCACATATCTGTATACTTGTCATGCTTTTTGGTAACCAAGACCTGACTATGATCTAGCCCAAAGGACTAATCCAAAATAAATTCCACAAATCACTACTTACTGCAATTAGGGGTGAAAAAGGTCACAAGTACTCTTACGTGCTTCAATTTTGCACAAGAGTTTGTAGGAGATCACCAGATCAGGATCTCTGTAACTCGCTCAAAACACACAGTTCTTAGTCTAAGAAATAAGTTAACACAGCTGTTAAGATACTCAAGTATCCACCCTGGCCACTAAGTTTCTAATGCAACTTTGAGAATTCATCACTTTGTAGGTTTTTCCGTTCTCATCCTAGACAAGGCAAAGCGAGTGAGCATTTTTGCTTTCCCTGTACAGAAAAGGCTGAGAAATGGAATATATCACACATGTTACATCAAAAGAATAAATAGGGGGCATCCCCGGTGGGGCAGGGGTTAAAGCCCCAGTGCTATCAAGCTATTGCCAGCCATTGCAACACCCGTTCAAGCCCTGGCCAGGGAGCTAATCCACATGGCACAGCAGACCTCTTCTATGTCGCCCGCTGCTCCCCTCAGCAGTGTGTTCCATTACATCTGTCTGATCCCCCTGGACTCCAAGCTTTAGCTACCAGGAAACCCTAAACTCCACATAAAAGAAATGGACCTGAACAGTCTTCTGTCTTTATGCCATCCTATGTTAAAGTGATGGTGGGTTGCCAGGGATGGGAGCAGGAATAGCAAAAAGAGGAGAATGCACAGAGAGTAAGGCAGAAATGAAGACAAACTGATATGGTGACATTTCCACCTAATCTAGTCACACCCAAAATCAGCCCATTTTAATTTATCTTTGATTTTATACTTTGCAAATGGAAAAAAAGACATACATATTCTACCAAACAGTAGTTTTCCCTCACCTATATTCTCTGACACAATTACTTTTCCCCATGCTCTTATTTTCATCCCTCCATTTAAACCAATTTGTAGTTTTATTATGTGTATTTATTATGCAATACACATCATATCATTTATTTTTAAAAGTCACATATATGAAACCATTTTTAAAAGAAGCCTCTTTTTTGCATAAATTAAGAAGTAAAATTAACAGTTTTTTAAAAGCAGTACATGGAAGATACTACTATTCTCCTAAATTATCAACTACATTTGGCAAGCAACTATATTAAACATTTTTAATTGAGGAATAATTTTCGGGGCGGGGCTTGGATGAATTTTTTTTTTAAGTTTGCTAACATCAGACTGCTAAATTAGATTTACATCCTCATCAAAATCTTTCTTACCTAGTTTTTCTGTTTTAACAACATTTCTATTGTGGCCATGAATCTAATGTGTATGAGCATTTCCATAATTAAGAACATCTGAAAAGGTTGTTTTTTAAAAATAAAAACCTATGAACTTCTTCCTGAATCAAATTTTATTGCATTAGAATAATTAACCTAGAGCTTACTTGCAACTAAAATTTATCTCTTCAACGTAATTTAACAAATTGCATAATAGATCTCAGAATATGTAACTTTTTTAAATGTCTGCCTTGTGACATGGTGAGAACAAGTGACAAAAAGTCAGAGGACCTGGTTCAGTCATTAATTTTCAATATGCTCCTCCAAAGCTCACTTCATCTTGCTGAACATTCTCATCTAAAATATGAAGAGCTTCCATGATATAATCTATCAAAATATTCTAGTTCTATACTCTCATTTCCAAACTAAAATTTTGGAAATTTATAGAGAAATAGATATAAAAATTTACATATAATTTCCAACAATGCTGTGTGCATATATATATATATATGTATATTAAGAAGCATGTTTATTAACATTATACATAAATATTTCTATGTTACTATAAAGCTACAATATAAAGAATGATAAAAGCAAAATTCCAAAATGAGTAAAACAGACTTCCCATGAGACCCAAACATGAATCTTAGTTTTATAAAGGAAAAGAAGAAAATTAAAATTAGCCATAAATATTCATTAGAATGAATAGATGACTGAGTAGACCAGTGGATAGATGGATGGATGGCTAGATAAGGAAAGGCAGGGATGCAAAAAAAGGATGAGCACTGATTCTTCCTTATGTGGCCTTTAACTCCTTAAAAGTCAAGAACAGGAAGATGACCACCTTAAACCTTCTTAGAACTCTATCATGACCCTCATTCTGTTTGTCTTCAAGTCAGTCTGTAGTTAAATAAGAATAACACCTTCACTTTAGTCAAGATTTTATGCCTCTGGTTTCTTATATGTAGTATGTCACCAATGAATTTAAATATTGTGAATATGCTAGAGTATGTTTAAGTTATAAAGTACTAATCCAAACACAAGCTATTAATACAAAAAAAGAAAAGCTTCCACTAAACCTCAAGTTTTTGTTATTCAGAAAAAATAAAATCATCTTACCTGATATTGATACCTTGTTTGTATATTTTACATGCATCAGAAGGCAGAATTCGGGAAAGTAAAGGCACTGTATTTTTAAAAAGAAAAATAAAAAATAACCATCTGAAGTTCTGAAGCAATAAAAACTTAAATTAAAAGAAGAATAATGTAAACATTCTACCAATTCACCAGAATTATAAAAATTTCCTTCAAAATGGTAGTTTTCCATTTAAAGAATAATATATTAAACAATTTAAAACAGCTTCAATTATCTATTATCTAATTGTTATTGCTGTATACTTCACCCAGTCACAAAAATGTAAAAAATAGCAAAGTCAATATAACACTATTCTTAAATATATATTGCAGGATATTATTATAGATGAGAAAAACAGTGCCCTATGATATTAAACCCTCCTGAATAAGTAACCAGATGGGCCTGGGTCCTATTTGATTCTTTAAATATAATTTGATTAAATAGCAGGAAAGTAATATGTATAACAGAAAGAACATTTTTAGAACAAAACAGTAGAATTTGAGTTTGTATCCTAAACATATAATCTTGTTATACTATACACTTCAGTTTCAAAATCTATAAAATGGAATGATACTATCTATAAATTTCTACATTCTAGTGTTGGTCAGATTAATATCATAAGTTATATGATGATCTTTTTATGACTTATTTTGTTTTTTACTTTATTAATTATTTATATTAATGGGAAAATAACAGTTATTCTATAGATAAATACTTCTGCATAACAGACTATATTAAACTGCCACATACAAAAAAAGAAATTAATATCATGTCACATGCATATGTATATGTAAGAGAGAGTGTGCATATATACAAGAAATATTACAGGCATATTTTACAAAACTCAGTATTTTAAAAATGGATAATAAATCAATATGGGTTAGAAAGGAACAGACAATAGTTGTTAGTTAGCTTTTTCAAAAAAAGTTAATATTTTATAATTATCACTAAAGTTATACTTAATATGTCACTGTTTTTTTGAGATCATGAAAATTAATTTAGTCCAAAGTTATTTCCAGTATTGAAGACCATCTTCTAGACATTGCATTTTACAAAGATTAGAAAAACTTACTTCCCAGAGAGAACATCAACTAAGAGTTACCCTCGACAAAGAATACAAGAAATCATTTTCTGATAAAATTTTTCCTTGTATGAAATAATAGAAGTTGAAGAAAGTAAATAATAGCATTAATCCATAAAAGTGATCAAAGTTCTTCTTTCATGCTCACTAGTTGGAATTCAGTTTTCTGGATTTCTGTTGATTACCCAACATTTATAATGTGTTGATAATGGTAGATATACACATAAATTTGAGAGTGATTGCCTTCATTTCTATTAGATTTCTATTCTTTTTCCATTTCTGTTTCTATTTATATAACTGAAATGTCACTTTTAAAATACTTTAAAACATTTTGTTCAGCAAGAGATAAATTTAGCATTTAGGCCACTAACAATAAGAAAATCAGTTAAAGAGCCATATACTCAAGGGACAACCCCAGTTTACAGTTACCAAGAAGGACTGAGGTCTCTCTACCTCAGATGAAGAAAAGCAGGGTGAAAAATTAGTATTCAGGCTTTACACCAAGCTAACTTGGAGCTCTTTTATTATACAGAGCTATCACAAACCACTTTTTTTAACCTATGTTTTAGGGCATTTGGACTTCTGATTGATATATAAAGCACAATGATAAGGCAGGCCTATCAGAGTAACAAAATCTGATGTAACATCAATGGAGCTAAAACTAGCTATACTTCTTTTTATATAATTTATTTTCATATAATTTCCTAAGATATTTTTTAACCTTAAAATAAGAATTATGAAAGTTACTAATTAGGTTAGGAAACTTTTATTACTACATGATTCTATAATTATTACATTCAACATTAATTTTTCTTAGGACAAGTATCAAATTTGTTATGTAATAATCTGTTAAGTATTTATTTTTGCACTTACATTCTTGCATGCAAATATATTTTGTAGTAAAACATGGCATACTCTTACCCCAGCTTTGAAAATCCCAGTGAAGTTCTAGATAGAAGTCACCTAGCTGAGAAGTGAAATATGAATAATTACTGAATGCACCTTAGTTAACAGAACTTACATTTACATATTATTTTGCTTTAAAAAAATCTGTTATTGAATGTCTATGGACAGGAATCAGAAATCATTTCAATGTTTTGAGTTGGATAAATAACACAAAAATATGACTATTACATAAAAGATAAAAATAATACACATTACTTATCAACAAAGAAAAACATGCACCACTGTAGATTTTGTAAGAACATTTTAAATTATATAAGAATACATCTGAAGCTGATAAGCATTTTAAATTTGTATCAATAAATATTCCAGAATAGCCAAAATAATAAGTTATAATTAATAACTTTATAAGTATTTTTAAAAATGATTATCAAAAGTGTTTTTAAAAATGACTACCCAAATGATTATTTGTATAGATCTATGGTCTAAAAATGGACTCACTGCAATAGAATTTTTTTCTATAAGTGGTAATACAAGTTTAATAAATAAAATATGTCATCATATGAGATTTACAGAGAAAATATTTCACAAATCAGAAGCTAAACACCAGAGACTATATTAAGGAAACTATTCTAATGTGATATCCTCAAAAAAGTTTAATTCATGAGATCTCAAAATAAAAAAGGTATTCATATGAGAAGACAGTCATCACAATATATCTATCTTTCTCCCACAGTTCTCTGAAGCATCAAAAATAGAGACAAATAGAATAACAGAAAATAAACCTCTCTCCCTTTTTGTGCCAGTACACCCAGCTCTAACATCATGAGGTAGGACAGACAAAAAAGTTTTGTTATATAACAAAGATGCCAACTATTCCTGTAGCAGCAGCAGCAGCTACGATAGAATCTTCCAACCCAAAGGACAAAGGAAAAGTATCACCATTAATTATGAGGTACCTCCTTTTTTTGTTATAGCTCTGCTCCAATTTATTGAAAGCAATAATTTTTTATCTACCCTCTTACTTCAAAGTAAATAGTGCTTCCTGTCAGATTACATTTATACATTATAATCAAAGTATTTTGTTATTTTATGCCATGATTGCTTAATTCAAGCATAATTTGTACCATTTCTTGAAACTTAATTATCAATGAGAAAGAAAGACTGTGTTTAAAGATAAAAAAGTGTTGAAAAGTACAGCGACAGTTACTCTTTAAGAACAAAATCAGTGAAGAAATATAGCCTACCTCTTTCAGGGCTTTTAATAATCGAGGTCGCTTTTCTTCAACACTTTCCCTGGATTGCTGCTTAAGTTTCCTTAAAAGAGCTGTAACTAAAGTGTAAATTTAAAAAAAATTTAAATAAAATTTACCAGGCTTGAAAACATCACTGGTTCATTATACAGAGATATAAGAATATATACATATTAATTAAATTAATAATTTGGTAAACTGTTATGATCCCCAAGGAAAATTAAGAAAAGATGCCTCTACATCAACTTATAACATACTCACACTAATTTTATAAGTTTTTAATTATCAGTAAGGATTTACCTGACTGAACAAAGATACACCAATCTCAATCAGGTGATGCAATGTCCTATTGTAAAACTGATCGCAGAGATCTCAACAACAGCAGAACTTAAAAATCCCACTATTCCAAAAATGTAATTATCTGCAATTGTCACCAGGTATATCTGTTCTTGTCTCTCACAATAAAGCATGTAAACACAAAAATGAGGGCTATTCTATCAGTGAAAATAACTTCTGAATCTAATAAAACCTGAAAAACTCTCTAGTGTTTTCTTAATAATTAAAAGACTGGGAACTATACACATTGCCTAAGTACAAACCCCAACTGTACTACTTATTAACTGTGGGTAAACTAAAAGTTCAAACACTTTAATAAATCTTTATTCAATCTACTTTGCATTAAAAATGAAATGGACCACTGTTGAATGAAAAGAAGAGAAAAAATTCAATCCCTAGGTAGAAAAGTTACCTTAATGAAAAACAGAAACCATTTATTCTTTCGTTAATTAAATAAATTACTACGGACTATAGGCTCTCAATAAATAACAGAACATTACATTAAAATGACCAAACATTATTAAACAGGTGGTGATAACAATATACAATATAATAGCTGAAAAGAGTTCCATGAGACCTCACATAGAAAAATAACATCCAGGGGTCTCCCTGGTGGTGCAAGGGGTTGGGACGCAACCTATGAAGCTGTCCGCAGTCACTGGAGCACGAGTTCGATCCCCAGCCAGAGAGCAACCCACATGGTCCAGCAGACATCTCCTGGCTTGCCCGCTGCTCTACTCAGCAGTGTATTTCAGTCCATCTGCCTGTTCTGTTCCCCACTCTGTCTCTAGTGAATACTCTCACCCCCTCACACCTCTGACCTGTACTCCAGCTCTTGTATGCATAAATAAATAAAACTTTAAAAAAAAAAAAAGAACATCCAAACTTTCTTAGGGAAGAAAAACAACCATTCAGAACACAATTATATAAAAGTATCAGTATGTTTTGGGGGGAATCAGTATTTGCACTTCCATATTTTAAGAAATGTATTAACAATGATTTATAACAAATATAAACTTAACTTTAGAAGAATTTGAAACATGATACCTTAATTCTTTCTGTATATTACCCAATATTTCAGTACTTAAGTCACAGTAATTCATACATGTTTGTAAATAACTGCAAAGGTTCATAGTGTGAAAAGCTACACTAAATGTAAAATATTTCAAATTCATCACTTTCCAGTTTTTGAATACATATCAACAACAGTAATCTATATTGCTTACTCATCTGTCTATCTCCATAGCTGATGGCTTCCGCCAGCGGGCTCCATCCCTGAGCATTTTTCACCTTTACTGGAGCATTGTGAGCCAAAAGTAAATGGGCACATTCTGAAATATAAAGTGGTAATAATATTAAATAGCATGCAATTTTAAGTCTCTAAATATGAAATAAAAGTCATGTAAATTTTCAAAAATTCCAATTAATATATTAAACCTATAAATAAATACTACACTATGAAGGGTTTTTTTTTTAATTCTTATGTATTTAAAGTGGGTTATTTCAGAGCCTCAAATGTAAGAAAATTATCTGAAGCAAATAAGATCTCTGCAAAGAAATCATTAGGTGCCCTAACAATTGTTCTTGATAGTATTTTGAGAATGATTCCATAGTCTGAAAGATAATGCAAGACTATTAAAATACAAACTATCTACTAAAACCCAAAAGAAGATTTGTATATCTATAATATCAATGGAAAGTTCTTTATTTTTGGAAAAGGACTGTTTCAAAAAGGATCAGTGATGTTTCCATAATCCCTCATTTTTCTAGTTTTACTGTTCTTTTAGTTAAAAAGAAATCCCAAAAGGACAAAAATCTGCTTATGACTACAAGGACAAATAACAATCTATTAAAGAATAAAAAGAATTATAAGGTACAGACCCTTCTATAGGCTGATAAAACTTTTTTTATTAATTAAAAATAAAAGGTATGTTAACAGGCAAAAAATATCTTAGGTGAAACTTATGGGAATTCAGGGTGAGTATCCTACCTAGATTTCGTAAATGAATGATTCATTCATTCATTCATTCATTCATTCAACAAATATTTACCAAAGTGCCTAGTATATGCTATTTCTGAGTCCTAGGTCTTAAATATAAGATGTGAGAAGAGAGGTCTCGCTGTCACAGAGCTTATAAACTATATTAGAAGATAGTACATAAGCTAATGAACTAAAAAATGAATTATACAATGATAAGTGCTTGGAAAGAAATAAGGGTGTGAATAACAGTATAATGCAGGTGAGGAAGATTAGTATTACTTCATCACTATACCTAGTAATAAAAGGAATATTTATGGCTGCAAGATATTTTATTAGAATAGAGTAAAATAAACAGAGAAGCTTCACAGAGGTATTTAAGGAAGTCTGTTATTAGTTATAAGAACATATGTACAAGAATGTTTATTTTAGCTTTGTTTACAGTGGCAAACATGATGGAAACTAAGCATGACTATCATGACAAAATGATTGACCAAAGTAAGATATATTTACATCACTGCAGTAATATGCAGCCAATTAAAAAAAAAAGTCATATTTTGGAAACTAAGCACCCAAAAGAATAATGACTAGTTATAACACATTAAACAAAAACAATCGATGGGTCAATAATGACATCAAAAGATAAGAGAGGGCAGGCAATGAGTACTTCTTTACAGGAAAATGACAGTTAATAAATGAAGAAATTAGAAAATCAAGTACATTACAACCCTACTATCGTAGGGTTGTACGTGAGGTAGGAAAATTTTCTCACTGAATATTAAAGTCACTAGGTAAAAGAATATGTACTGGGAAATGGGATATTCACATGATACCACAGTGTCATCCCAGATTGCTAGTTATAAAGAGAAAAATGTTCCTAACAGGGGAGATGTCTAGAAATCACTATTTTAAACAAGTGATCAGATTTACTGGAATTAAGAGTAGGATAACTTAATAGCATGTGTTTCCTAATGTGATGCCATAGAAAGTTCATAAAATCATCTATGCACTATTCTTTCAAGATATGTTTAGCCTGAAATCAATTAAGTCGCTATAGTGAAATTTCAATTTACTAAAGAGACAGAGGAACAAAAATAATATCACAAGAAAATAATCAGGCAAATCAGAAATGGGCATTCTACAAATTAACTGAGCAAGACTCTTCAGAAAATCAGGTACAAAGGAGGAAAAAGAAGGCAAACTTTTTAAAGTTAAAATACAGAGACATAACAATCAAATGACCCAGAGTAAACTTTGGGTCTTGGTTCAATATAAAGCCTATAAAAGACACTTTTAGAACAATTGGGAAATTTTAAATATGAATTAGATAACATATAATAGGACAGATAATATAACAATATTATAATAACTACATTACACTATATAACAGTAACAGATGTTCATGATACTTCAAGATCAAGATACTTCAAGATCATGCTTAATAATTTACGAATATGTTTTTAAAAGATATTTATTTAAACCTGGAACTCAAAGGGTTGCCAATCAGTTATCTGGAGTCCTTTCCTTGATTACTAGAAATGCAGATAACTAAGATTTTTTTTTTTGCATTTAAGAATAGTCTTTAAAAGTAACTTCTTTAAACCACCTGTCTGAGTATTTTTAGTCAAAGAATAAGAAAGTATTAAGTTTTTACAATCATCTAAGAGGATAGTCTTATGAGTTTAGGTACACAAAATAGTCATAGTGTAATGTAAAACTTTTCAAATATTAAAAGATTACAATAATTAATAAACCCTAACAATAAGAAATAAGTTTTCTGAAATTGTAAGTACTTGCTTGAAAAGAAAAAAGAAATTATATACTAACCTTTATTTCCTAACATCACAGCAAGATGTAAAGGAGTGTTTCCTAAAATTGAAAAAAAATTAAATTAGTATAAAAACTTAGGAAAATCTATTAAAGGTGGTTTCAGCTCCTTTAGAAATTTCACAGACAGATTTTAAGCAAATGTAATGTGATTGCAGAATGATCCTGCCTATATGGCAAATTCAAAGTCAGAGGATGCCATGGCTTCTGTATACAATGAATTCTATTTCCTCTCTTTACCCCACATCCCAAAAGAATTTTTTTTCTCCAAATAGATTTCAATGCTTCCTTTGCTACAATTTGTCTATCATATCATTGGTTTTTCATTCAGCAAACAATCTAAATGCCTACTACATACTCTTCCTTGGAGACATAAATCAAGACCTAATCTCAGATGTCAAAATTATTTAGAAGTCTTCTATCAATCTCCCTGTCTCCAAACTTGCCCCATTTCCATCTCTTCTCTAAAGCTATATTAGAATAATTTCAAAACAAAAACTTGCTAATATTACACTTTCACTTAAAAGGCTAGAGAACCTCCCTATTTTAACATAGTATAAAACATTTTTGATGCTAAGTCCTCACCTTCCTTTCTTCTCCTATTTTCTTTGTTACCCTAGCTCTAATCTGAACTACATAAATCCTCCAATAAATTGGGTTCCCATGCTTTTAAACACACTTTGCTAATCTTTCCTAAATGTTCCTTTCCCATCTGCCTGGCATATTTCAGGCCTTAGATACTGTGCTGCTCCCAAAGTCAGCTTTATTTATTGTAACACTTTCCACATTAAACTGTACTTTCAATTTTATGTGGAAAATCTGTCTTTCATTAGATTTTAACCTCCAGAAGACAAGATATATATTTTGTTCATTTACATATATATTATGCATTCTTATGTAAACGCTTTCAGTCCATATCTGATTCTCAAGACAGCCAGTATTTGTGAATGAAAACCTGAGAAAACATTTAGTTACAGCAACCAATGATGATAGTATCTGTGGTTACAGAAACCCGATAATAAAGTGCAACTGGCATTATCTTAGGCAAGGGTTTTGCACTCAATTGTTTCCAAAATTAGGTAATGTAATTGGAAAGGTTTTGGTGATATTTTTCCTAAATGTTTAGAATTCTACTTGTAAAATGATCTAATCCTAGAATTTCCTTTAAGTCATCCACAAGGAGCAGCAGACCTCCTGTCTTGACCGCTACTCCCTCCACAGTATATTTCAATAGATTTGCCTGTTCTATTCCCCATTCTGTGTCCGGTGAATCCTCTCACCCTCCCCCACCCCACCTTGGCCTATACCCCAGTTCCTGTACACAAAACTAAATAAAAATTAAAAAAGAAAAAAGAATTGAAGCTACCAGAGATAAGGATGGAGGAGTGGAGAGCAAAGGGAGGAGGGGGCCTGGTGGATTGTGGTAAAAGATAACCGCTGCTCAAGTGATTGGTGTGAAGTGGTAACATGTATCTAAAATGTTATGAACCTACACCCCTAAATCATTTACAGTGTTGAAAATTGTTTAATCTCAATTAAAAATAATACATTTTAAAATAAAACCCTATTATAAATTATATGCTATTTCAATTATTTTGGTATGATATTTGCATAGATTTTTTTCAGTATTTCCAACTGTTATTTATTGTATATTTTGGAAGTGTCTCCAACTGCAAGTACCAAGTACTTGGGTGTGTTTTCAGACATACAACAACATTTGTCGTTTAAGTGGAGCATTCATTTAGTCTTGTTTCATATACCATAGCTACTGATACAGTGGGTTTAAATTAACCATCTGCTTCATGTTTGCATTCATCCTGCCAGTTTTAGTTTCCTTTTTCTCATCTTTCTTACCTTCTTCTAAGTTGATTATTTTTATCATTCCATTTTGCTTTTTCATTTTTTGGATGGAAGGTATACAATTTCTCAGTTTATTATTCTTTTATTATCCTAGACATGCACTGTCCTACCCAGTACTAATGGATAGTTATTGAGCATCTGAATTATGATGTGCTACAGTGGGATTTTGAAGAGTTAACTGAAACAAAAGAATGCAAAAGTCTCAATTATATTTCATATTCATCACTGCAATGAAATAATGTTCTGGATGTATTGACTTAAGTAAGTCATTATTAAATCTAATAGCTCCAGTTTTTATTTTCACTTTTATTTTTCTCAGGCAGCTATAGAAAACTGAAGATACATAAGTGGCTCACATTGTATCCCTATCACACAGCACTGCTCTAGAATTCACAACGTACATCCTTGATTTATCAAAGTCTAATGCTGAGTAGTCCCTTATTCTTCTTTAGAGCAGTACAATGACCTAACTTTATTCCCTCCATCCATAGTTACATGCTACTTTCAAACAGTACTGTTGGAACAGCCCAGTGCAGATCACGGGCCCAGTTTCTAGCTCCGAGCTCCAGCACCGTGTAGGTAGCGCTAGTCCGAACTCCATCTCTGACGTCCTGAGCGAGGAGGATGCTGGGAAGTGGGCAGAGCAGGGCGGCCATTTTGTGAGTCTTTAACCGGGAGCAACACACAAGGGCTTGCGCTCCTTTTCATTGGAGATGCTGCAGAAGGCAGCCACCCGCCAGGCGGTAGGCCTCCACTATTTACCCTCCCTACCACCCAAGGTGAGAGGAGACCCCAACCTCAGTAGCAGCAGCAGCAGCAGCAGCTGACCTCCACCACACTGACCTGGTTCCTGTATCTCATTCTACCTACCACCAACGGTTAGTAACTGGACCTTCTCCCTCAGTCTCTCCCCTCCTAGTTCTCCTTCTTGTACCTATTATGGTGAGTAGGCCTTGCCCCATCCTGTCAGTTCCTGTTGCTGCAAGGCCACCTCACAACGTCAGTCAGTAATTGGACCTTCTCCCTCCCCCCTCTCCTGTTGGTTAAAATTATATGTTTTTTCTCCACCAATTGTATGTTTTGGCAGAAGGTGCCCAGACCCAGAACAGTGGAGAGGTACTGACACTTTTTTTGGTTCCCTGACCGGGTAAGAATGGCATACTGGTCCAGTTTTTTTGGGGTGCTGTGACTGGAGCACACCTGCCATTCATGGTCAGTTAACTCTGTGGGAGGGAGGATGGAGAAGGCCTCCTAGTGTCTTGCCCACAGTGCGGCTGCCTCAACAGGCATGTTGTATGTCTGTCTGTCCGTTTTTGTGCAGTAAAAGGGCTGATTTTGGTTAGAAGTTGAAGTTTTGTTTTCTTTTTGAGACAGCTATGGATGCAGCCTCTACTTTAGGGTATCTGTCTTTGGTCTTCTGCAGTTCTGTTTGTGGATTTGGTCTATTTTTGGAAATCTGGCTTTGACTTTGTGGAGTTTCTTTTGGGAGTATGTTTCTGGTTTGGGAAATTTGGTTTTCATTTTGTGGGAATTCTTTTTGGTTACCATGTATAGTTTATTTTCATTTCCTAACTTAGAGTTTGGTTTGTGGGGCTTTTCTTGGGTGTATGTGTGCTTTACTATTTATACAGGTTTGTCCTTCCAAGGTCCACCCAGTTGTAAGATGGCATCTACATTTTTCTCTATCTATGTGTTGTATATCAGTGTGCCATTCCTTTGTGTCTAATTATTTTGGCATTCAAAGGAAACTATTTGTATCCAAAACTGAGGAATGCAATGGGAATTGATCTAGATGTTTTGTGAGAACTAATTTGGTTTGAAACAAGTATTGTCTCATAATTGTAAAATTGGATGTGTTTTTCATTTATGTCAGATCCAAGCTGCCCTGAAATGTCAGCCAAGGATAAACTTGCTTAATATTTTGATCATTCTTTAGTTTAGGGCATTGCAAAGCATTGGCAGTTACCAAAATTGTTAGGAAAAAAATTAACAGGAAAGAAACCTGGAACTGCTCCAAGGTCCAGATGGACGGGACAGAGGGATTCATGCAGAAGAATGAACCTGTGAGTGTCAGTGTCTAGGAGGCTACTAGTGCTCAAGGAGACAATAGAGTCTTTCAGCTTGTTATGCTGAGTGGAGGGTCAAGGAGCAGCCTTGAGCCCAGAACTTAGCACCACAGTGGGCACTGAGTACTCAGTGTTTTGGATGGCTCAAACCTGATGCAGATACAATATATGAACCTGGTGGGTGAGGGCTGCGCTGGGACCAGGCTCCCCTTGCTGCCTGTTACCATCACTGTGTAACAAGGGCTGTGACCTGCTAACTGCCACCCTGTAATCGAGCCTCCCCCTGGTATTGGAAGTACAGTGACTCCAGCAGGTTTAGCCCATATCTGAAAACCAAGATTGCAGCCTTGCACCAATCCCTCTCTCTTGCACTCTCTTCTTCCTGCAATGTGCAATTAAATCCAGTCCTGATACAAACATTTCTCCCATTCTTGACAAAGTCTGGAGAAAGAGACCCTGACAGTTTTGAGACTGGAGAAAACTCTCTTCTGAGGCCACATCCCAGCATCTGGACTTCTAATTTTCATCACCATAGAAATGGTGACAAAAAAATTTAAGTATGGAAATTGCTGGATCTGCCCAGTGCAAATGAGGGGCTAACTACCGTCTGATGTCTGGCATTACCCAAACTGGAGAGCATGACACCTGGACAGTGCCATGGTCATAACTCTAACCCTAATGTCCTGAGTGAGGAGATTAGGTACAGAACAGAGCAGCCATTTTGTGAGTCTTTAAAAGGGAGCTTTTTGCTCCCTTTTGCATATGAGCTTGCTCTTTTTCATTGGAGCTGATACAGAAGCCAGCCACCTGGCTAGGTGATGAACCTTTGCCCCCACACATCAGTCAATAACTGTACCTTCTCCCTCTCCCCTGTTGGTTAGAATAATTTTTTTTCTGCACCAAAGTTCCTTTTTGTTTGCATTTTTGGCACAGGTGGCCGGACACAGAACCACTGAAAGAAGTTTTGACATAAGGATCCTTTGGTCCAGAAACAGTACCATCAATTTTTATTACTACATTTTAATGAGGACTATGTGTCTAGTGCATTAAATGCCACATTGAAAAAAGAATTGTCATGGATATGAGGGAGTGAGATACCATAGACACTGGAGTCTC